TGAGACAAAGCTCAAGGGTTTTAATGTAAATTGCATTTTATCTAGAATTCCCAGCGGGGTTTCAATCTTTGGGTTTGAATTTTGAATTTTAAACGAGCATATGGTGGAATTGAAAATTTGTTGGGGAACGCTGCGGGGTTGCGGCATATGGTCGAACATCGTAACCTTAAGAACGGTTGGTAACAAAATCCTACAGTGACAATTAGATGAATGATAAGGTCATAATCAGGGTATAAAAGGAACATAAGTTAACACATTGCAACGCATTCGTTAATAGCAACATTTGATGTCTAGCCATTCTTTTTCTCCCTGTGAAACTCCAGAACCAATTCTGGAATTTGACGCAAGGCCGGAGACTGTATCTCCCACGCCAACATTCCGTCGTCACTACTCGACGACAGTATTCAGCGGAAAGCGCATGCTATACCGCATACACCCAGAATTGGGCCGTCTCTGTTGGCTATTAGAGGACGTTGGGAAGCAGAGCAATGTATTGCTGATGTATGGATCCGGGCGAGGAAAGCCCTTATTGGAGCAACTAAAGGAGTTCCAACTGAGCTGCCACAAAGCAGCATTTGTCCATAATGAGGACAATTTAACTACTGAATTGGATATGTGGGATCTGCCCACGGACGTGCCGGAGCTCAGAGCAATGGCTGAGCGGGAGCAGAGCCGAATCAGCTCATTGTTGGAGGAGGAGCTAAAAGAGCTGGATGAGCGCACCGCTCATGTGCGCGAGGTATTGGAGGACCTGAACAGAGAGGATCTGGCCGTGAGAAGCAAAATTTTAGTTGATCAGGCTTAAAAAAAATTCTTTTCGTGCTGTTACCGTATCCTATTGTACTCTATGGTCAATGAATATGTTTTTAACGCTCATTTCTGTTTTCCATTTTATAGCAACATATATACTTGAACAAACATAATGCATACATATGAAGGTATAAGTGTAAAAATAAAACATGAGAGGTTTTTAAGGTTTTCAGTTGTTCAACACTGATGGGCAGATGTTCCATGAACTCCGCTGCAAAAGTAAAGAAACTAAACGTTCTTATGTGTTCATAAGTCAGACAACAGTAACAAGAAAGGATACTAGTATTACGAGATTTCGTTCGTTTCAAGTTAAAG